CACGGACACGCTGGCTGTGGCCGACAGGGAAGGCGAGCCCCCGTCCCGCGCTGTAACCACCAGTTTATAGACAGACATGCTCTCGCGGTCCAGGGCGCTGTCCAGCACTAGTGAGTAATAGTTCTTGAACGTGGACATGATCTTGAAGGGGACGTTGGGCGTTAGAGAACAGATCACCTGTCCGTTGGCACCAGAGTCGCGATCAGATACACTGATCAGCGCAATGACCGTGCTTGGCTGAGTGTCCTCCCGCACTGGAAGAGACAGGGAAGTCACAGTGACTTCAGGGGCGTTATCATTGGCATCTAAGATTTCGACCCAGACTGTACAGTGACCTGCCATTGGGGGATTCCCCTTATCTGTAGCCTGTACATCAATTTCATAAACCTTGTTTTCTTCATAGTCTAAAGTTCCATTGACCCTTACTTCTCCACTGTTTTCATGTAGTGTAAATAAACGTTTTCCATTGGGCTTAATCGACATCAAGGAGTATGTCACCTCCCCGTTGACTCCTTCATCTTGATCTGTGGCGTTTAACTTTATCACAAGAGTTTCTTTAGCTGCGTTTTCCATCAATCTCACCTTGTATTCTGATTGTTCAAATTCCGGATCATTGTCGTTAATATCCAAGACGCGGACGAAGAGATGAACAGTGCCAGTGAGCTCCGGTTTCCCGCCGTCTGCAGCCGTTAATAGTAAATTAAGTTCCGCAGTTTTCTCTCTATCCAGAGACTTCTTTAATGTAAGTGACAGCCTTTTAGTCTGCTTACTATTTGTTGGTAATTCTAAAGAAAAGTGCTCATTTTGACTTAGTCTGTAGGTCAATTGAGCATTCTCTCCAATATCCGCATCAGAAGCTCCCTCTAGAGGAAAATGAGAGTCAGGTTGCTTAGATTCAGAAATCAGCAGCTTTTGTTCTCTGAGAGAGAACACCGGTGGATTATCGTTAATATCCTTTACTTCCACCTCCACATGGAACACCTGCAGCGGCCGGTCCACGATCACCTCCAGGTGGATGTTGCACTCCGCGCTCCGCCCGCACAGCTCCTCCCGGTCGATCCGAGAATTCACAAACAAAATGCCATTCTGCAGATTTACCTCCAGAAGGTCCCCGCGGCCTTTGGACGCCACCCGGAACAGGCGCGGCACCAGCTCCGCCAGCTCCAGCCCCAGGTCCTGGGCGATGCGGCCCACGAAGGTGCCGTGTTTGGCCTCCTCGGGAATGGAGTAGTAGACCTGGCCGCTGCCCGCCTCCCAGGCTGCGAGAAGCAGAAGCGACAGCAGCAGTCGCCCAGTGTCCAATCCCCTTCTTTCAGACGCGAACATTGCATACATTGACTTCCCAAATAAGATTCTTTACATTTACAGTACCATAGACTCCAGTTTTGGGTTAAAAATCTTACTGAATTTTTGAGAAGTTTCAAAGGATCCTTTAACGGTAGCATCCGGCATGATGGAGTCTTTAAATGCGGAGTTCCTGGCTGCTCAGACCAACCCTTGAATGAACTATTTCCTCCAAGTAAAGAGCGACACCTTGTGCCTGAAATTGTGAGTATTGTACACTACATCCAATACCACAGAATTTTACTTGAGAAAAAAATAAGTTCACGTGTTTCAAGCTATTTTACCCCCCAAATCATATTTCCAAAGTGCTTATTTGTGGAATAAAAATCAGATTTTAAGTCATATTGAAACTGATGGTATATGGAAAATGGCATTTTATTCTTGATTAACATCAAATTGAAATATTTGTTCCTATGTTTGATGTAGAGTTTTACAATTGAAAAAATTATGAAAAAATAAACTCAAACATTTCCTCATATAAAAATATCAAATTTGAATTGTTTTACTTCTAGTCACCCTTGTTACTTTGGCTGCTAGGAAACTCAAAGACAAATTTGAAGTTTTAATAACACTTCTTTAGTCTTTAAGTCTGCATATTGTGTTTTTATCTATGTGCACTTGCTTTCTACTTATATTTTTATTAGTTCTAATTCTTTATCATTATTTATATTTAATTGTGTTCCTGTTACAAACAACTTTATATGCATTGAAGAACAACAAGAAAAACAAAAATATACTTCAAATTTGGTAGTTTAAAACATAGAATTCATAAGAGAAAAGTCTATTGATGTAGATGAAACATATCTGGCATATATGCTTTCTCATGTAAGTTGCATTGCTAACAGTATAATAAGAGATATCAAAATGACACTTTATGTAATAGTGTCAATATATGAAAGAAGTAGTCTTTTAACTATAGCATGAACTTTTTACCATTCAATGAAATAAAAATCACCATGAAAATTTCTGTGCCATATTGGTATTTCCACTCACCAACATTGGCTTTTGTATATCTATCAAGTCATATTCATGAAAATAGCTGACCTATTTCTTCTTAAAAGAATTTTGGGTTTGAGATTGTAAGTTCATCCAAAACAAGGGAAATGACTTCTAATCACATTGCCTCTAAGTGCCTAATATTGTGCTAAAAAATCATAGAAAATAATCAAACAATTCAACCAAATGCTAAATGACCTTCCATGTTACTTCCATTAACACTAATGGAAATTCGATTTCATAAAATACCAACTAGAAAATCAGAATTGTTGATGTGAGTTTTCATTGCCTGAAGTTGTAAATTAGTTACATGTCCTTCGTCTTTTCATATTACCTTGGGATTTACGGAGGAAAAAAGAGGGTACAGTGGAAGTTTAGAGTAGAAAGTGGTTCAGAATAAGTATCACTCTAGCTTGAGTATTTTGTTGTATGGTTTTAATGGTTCATGTCGAATCTAAAAATATTACAATGAAAAAATTACTAGTATATTTATTTGTATGTTAATATTTTCCTTTATCTTGAACACATACATATATTCTATTGCTAATTTCAAACCTTGTTTCATTTTTTTCAAATTTACTCTTTTCCCAATATTATTATTCTGCTAGAATTCTTTTTAAAGACAATTAAAAATTATTTCTTAAAAAACAAAAAAGCAGGCTCATCACCTTTTATGACACTGAATTCTGTTATGCATCTATAAAACAACCACTCATATGAGCCTCTTTTCAAAATATAACATTAGGCTAGATAACAGTAGGTTTAACATGATGTTCAAGGCCTGTCAGATTTATTTTGTAGAAGAAAGAAGCAACAGGCCTCCAACCACTTCATTATGGAAACTGGGGAATGAGATGTTATATGCAATGTGGAGTCTTTAAAGGCAGAGAAATAAACATGAGAAAGTTTACCCAAGGGAGATGATGATATTACATGTCTGAATTAAAACCAGTTGTTAATTTAGGAATTACTTTCCAGAAATGTGGTATTTTGCAAGTATATAAAGTGACATTGGATGAACACCAATTCATAAAAGAGTTTGATATATTGTATGAACCAATGACACGACTTTTGCACTTTGGCTGTGCTATTTCAGATATCACTATCTCAACTAGCTCCTAAAGAATAGACTATGATATCTTTGAACTCATCTTTGGGGATGGGCCTGAGATCCGGCAATAGGCTAATGCCAAGAAGTCACATCGATATAGTTGTTAACATTGATTTTGTAAGATTGATTGAAAAGGCTAAGGAACTTCGTGCCTGACCTTTTCTAAATCAATCTGGTTAGTCTTAAATTCCAGCTGTATGTCTTGATAGTCAAGTATTGGAGTGCATGGTTTAATGTTCTACCAGTCCTCATCATCCACTATTATTTCATAATAGGTCTAGTACTACTATTTATTGAAAACATTAAACAGAGAAATAGATCTTGAAGCCATTCTTGGAAACCCAGTAGGTTCTTCAAAATTAAAAGATTAGAAGTACTGTCTACAAAACTGTAGAATATACGCAGTGATGTTCACTCTGTGCTATCAGGGCTTATTCAAGTCTACACAGTTATTTGATCACAGATCATTTGTTCAATTGGCACAAATCTCTCAGACAACAAGACTGAAGGAGTCTGAATCTTGAAAGACCCACACACTTTCAAAGATTTTCATGAGAAATATACACCTTTAAAGCTGTTATTGAAGTATACAATTTTGGAAACAATTATTGATCCTTCACTGATGTTCAGGATCCAAGAAATAATCATATTACCGCTTATATTTGTCAAAACATTATTCTTATTCACAGTGTAAAAAGAACAAGGTCATTTCCACATGTATTATTTGGCTTTGGTGTTCTGCAAGAACTTTGCAGACCTCAGTCTTCTGATTTTCCTCATATATTAAATGATTCTGCTTATTTATATCACTTCCAAACAACTGATCAATAGTCCTTATCAGACAACTCTTAATTATTTACCGATCAAATAACGTAAAAACCTATCTCAATGTGGCACTAAGACAAATGATAATGATGTCCATGAAACTTCTGAGAAAAAAAATCACTTAGCAACATAAAAAAATAAACATAAAAAAATCTTAATTCCTATCTCAGTTATGATATTGTACAAAGTTAACCATGAAGATAATCATGAAGGGTTTTTCTAAGCAAAACAGAAAGGAGGATTACTCTGTATACAGCTTGTGCTTGATTCTCCTAGCCAGAACTATGCCTCATCAGATAAAAGATTTACTCTAGAAAGTTCTACAATGAATAAAAGAATGGCTCTCAAATCTAAGAGATATGCATTTGAATATCATCTCCATCATGTACTAGCTGGATAGCAGTGGACAAGATAGATAAACATCTCAACATCTCTTATCTAATCTTTAGAACTTGGATAGTCAAATGTACTTTACAAGTTGTTATAAGACTTAAACGAAATTATGTATTTTAAGCCCTTCATGCCATATCTTACAAATAGAAATATCTCAAATAGTGGTGGTTGATTATAATTAGTGACCAATGTTTACTCTTGTTCTATTCTGTAGCTATCAATGAAGAAAATTCCAGTACCATAAACTAGGATATGGCTTTTCCTTTTCTGAAGATTTCCTAATGTTCATCTTCATGGAAATCATCCTACATTCTAGGTAGAAAATAGCCTTCTCAGAATTTCTATTACTTTACCCTATCTATAACGTGGTTCTCCTCCCATATGTAAATATATCATATATAATTTATTTCTCCATTCAGTACAATTAAAGAATCTCTAATTTGTACATTTGAGCCAAAAAGAACAAAATAAACTTCCACATTATTTGATTCACACCCTTACAGCTCTAATTTCAAGTTCTCTGTGATATCTTTAAAGAAAACAATTCACATGAACATAGCATTGAGACAAAAAAAGAGTTTGTATCAATATATCTAAAGTACTCAATGTTAAAAACATTTTGAGTACACAATGTTAAATACTGAAATGTGATCAACAGCACCATTGTCAAACGGAAGTGCCTTTATATATATTCCATGACTGTTATGCTTAAATTATTTAGAGCAATGTTATTTTGAAGACCAGGCATCTTGGTGAATACAGGCAGAAGTATCACAATTCCCCTATATGGGAAGACCCTTTTGAACCTCAAAGCACAAAGAAGTGTGAATTTTCCCACTCTAAAATATTTTCATACAGCCTCATTACAGGTACCATGAATGGAAGAAATATAAGTACGGTCAATGCTCAAATAAATTTTCCAAATAAATTAGAAGATGGCAGAAATTAATGTGGAGGAGAGCACCAATGCATTCAACAGGCAACTAGCAAAATTGTCAATACATTAGAAAAAATTTTAAGTTGTCTATCTGAAGCAGCTGAAGACTATGAAGAAAATAAGTTTAAATTATGAGGGGATTAAAGACAAAAAAAGTAAAATCATTCCCAAAGGAAAGGCTAAAATTCTACCTACTTTCTCAAAGAAGCATGTCATTGATTATAAAGAAACAAAATCATTTATAAAATGAGGCCACCTTAACAGCCCATGCCCGTCAGTAATACACAAGCTTATAGATTATAGGAAGGTAAGAATGTACACATGTATAAACCCCCAAAAACCAAATTATGAATTGTTAGGGTAATTTTGAATGCATAAACATAATGCGTAGAGGACACCAAACAGAATAAGAAAATGAATAGGAAGAATGAACTTGCTGCAAAATTGAGAAGCAGAAGATTTGAGCCTCACCCACATCCTCCATTTCCCATCAGTGATCCTTGTCTCCTTCCTGACTGACTTAGCCTTGCTCATTTACAGGAAGCTTTAGCAGTCTATTTCATTTTTACTATTATTATTATTTCTCCAACTAAATAATATTCCCCGTATATTCAAGAAGACTGTGGTGAAAAGTAATAAAAATGGCTGTACTTCCATTGTGCTTTAGAAAAAACCATCGCAAGAAAAAGACAACAAATAACTGAAGCAATGGACTTAACAGTAATTTGTTAGTGAACTACTATGTGATTGACATTAAGAGGCATGATACATCTCAGAATTACTGTACTTACATTCTCGCAAAATTCCTGTTGGTCTCCAATATCTCCAGAATTCGAACCTGGAGGGACACTAGGGCTGAAGGCCATGAGGTCTGCCTTGGGCGGCCCCTCCCCAGAGCACACCCTCTGCCGCCTCTGCTGCG